TTCTCTTCTCTTCTCTTCTCTTCTCTTCTCTTCTCTTCTCTTCTCTTAGCTCTATATCCAAACAACAGAGACCATGCAAAAGGGAAAGGCAGAAGGAATGATACATTAAGGCCAGGTCACACTCAGAGTTTCTCTTGCCATTCAGACACCAACAGAAGAAGAGATAACAGAGGCTGTGACACAAAATTGAGAAATGTCGCCAGCACACCCTTGCAGCAACAGTCTGGAATCCTGAAGAAACTTTACATAGGAGGAATGCTGCTGTAGCACACGTGGTGGCGATTTGTACTTCTAAGAAATTATGACGAAACAGCAAATGTTAGTGCACTAGCATCTTTTGTATAGAGACATCTTCTGAGATGTGGTTTAACAGGACAGAAAAGGAAGGGAATATTAATAATAATAATAACAGTAATAATAATAATAATAATAAAAGTATATACAAAGCCGGTGATGCACAGTGCAGTTGCTCACCATCCATTGACTGATCCCCAAGTGAATCCCCAAGCAACAGTCCCCTCCCATTCACCTTCCCCCGTGTTACGATCTTGCACGGCTCTACACGGTACAGGACATTCCTCTGGCCAGTCTGGGTCCCTCCTTCTTCCTTCTGTCCCCTCCTGGTGCCTGTGCACCCCGAGCCCCTCCCTGCATGGCAGCACGGGGAGCTGAAACGTCCTTGATCTGTGCTGCGCTGCTCAGCAACAGCCAAAACATCAGTGTGTCACCAGCGTGATTCTCATCAAATCTAAACCACAGCACCATAGCAGCTACTAGGAAGAAAGTTAGCACTTTTCCAGTTGAAACCAGGATGAGAGCTGCCGTAGAGCCAGAGATGTGCCTTGTGGGTGCGGGACACACACGGGGCCAGGTTCGGGCTCTGCTGCCACGCAGTCCCTCTTCGGACTGCAAACCCTGCTGATGCGCTCCTCTCCTGTGGTGCTTCACACTTCGCTCAGGAAGGCAAACCTTCACGGGGAGTGACACCCTGCCTGCATCCCTGTTCCGCCCGTGTTCCGTGGTTTTGCTTTCTGGGATCCCCCTGAGCAACGTCCGACGACGTGCAGCCGCTGCTCTTCAGCCCTGTCCTCGTCCGAGGTTCTCTCCGTGCTCCGGGTGCGACGGTCCCACGGGTACAGACAGCTGCCGTCCGAGCGCTCCCTTCCTCCCTCAGCTCGCCTTTTGCTCACCCTCTCCTTCCCAGAGGGAACCGAGGGGAAAATGCGGGAGAAACGGGACCTCTGTCCTTCCTTGCTCCTCCTTTTGTCTCCTTTATTTTTTTCTCTTACCCCCCCCCCCCCCCCTTCCTATTTATTTATTTATTTATTTATCTATTTCTTCGGGTCGGGGTCGCCGTTAGGGACGGGGATGGCGGGAGGCGCGGAGCTGCTCGGAGGTTCACGACCACCATCGGCACCGACCCCCCCCCCCCCCCCCCCTCCCTGCCCCCTCCCCGCCCGGTGACGTCACGCGCCGCCGGGATTTGGGGGGGACGCGCGGGAGCGCCGTGGGCGGGGGGCGGCATCTCCCCTCCCCTCCCCGCTTTGCTGTCACCGCGCCGCCGATATTATAGGGCCGAGGGCTGAGGTTTCGAGCGCCGAGTCAGCGGTGTAATGAACTTCTGGAAACCTTTCCCTTTTTCTAGCGTTCACTTTCTGAGAGGCTGAGACTGCCTCCTCTGACGCCTTTTCCCCCTGCCATTCTTTCGCCGGCTCTGATCTCCTGCTCCGCGCGGAGCCAGCTCCATCCCACCTTCCCCTCCGCTCATTGTGCCGCGGCCCCGAGTCCCGCCGGCAGCGCGCTGCCACCCCGCACCCTCCTGGGGTCCCGCGAGCCTCAGCTCGCGGGGAGAGCTCCTTCTTCGGCTCGTTTCGTTTCTTTATTATTATTTTTTGCCTTTTTGCTCTTTTGTTTCGTCTTGTTTTTTTGTTTTGTTTTGTTGGGTTTCTTTTTTCATTTTTTTTTTTTTTCCGCGTGTCCCCACACCTCGGAAACACCTTGCGGCGAGGATGTGTCGGCCCCAGCGGGCGAAGCAGCGCTGAGAGGCCGAGGGAGGCACTCACCCGCCCGCCGCCGCCGGGGGGGCACCGCGCTGCGCCCCGACGGAGCGGCTCCCGGGGCTCCGAGCATGAGCAAGCCGGCGGGATCAACAAGTGGGTAACGGCGCGGCCGGGCTGCTGGGCCCCCCCCGAGCCTGGGGGATGGGGTGGGGGAAGAGAAAACGAAGGGGTGGGGGGGGAGGGAGGGGAGGTTTGGGTTCGGAATTCCGAAAATAAGAAAGAAAGAAAGAAAGAAAGAAAGAAAGAAAGAAAGAAAGAAAGAAAGAAAGAAAGAAAGAAAGAAAGAAAGAAAGAAAGAAAGAAAGAAAGAAAGAAAGAA